AGCATATCTGTTCCAGAAAGAGTGCATAATCCACTAGTATACTACTACTAATTTCATTATTGCACACCTCTTTTTTATACAGATGCTTTTTATGCAGATCATGCCCTCACCAGCCCATCCACTTGGTTAATGTGGGATTCTAGCTATAGTGTGTGTGGACGTAGTGTATTTTGGAAGTTAACATTTCCTATATAGAAAATGTATTTTCGATAATACTTACGTCTTCTTACACTCTCCTACCATTACTCCCCACTATGACCGGTGTTTGGGTCTCCTAACCTGGACAATCTCAAAATAGTTAACAGGAAGTAATAACGAGGAGATAATATATAAATCTAAGATAGGGGACACATTAAGAGGATCACAAGATTTAACTTGCTATGGGCAATATAGTGGGGTATAAAGGCTGGAACAAGTGAGGGAAGATCCATATTAGATGGATGGTTAGATGGGCAGAGAAGATGAACTTTCATCAGGATAAAGCTACAGTGTGAGAGAAGGTTTTATTGGAAATACATTTTCTATATAGGAAAATGTTAACTTTTGTCTATCCTATAATCTCACTGATTGCAGATTACTTAAAGATCTCCCCTCAATGTGGATTCCTGTACATGGTGAGGGTACCTCCCAGGGAAGGTTCTGTATTTTGCATTCCCTATTTGACAAATCTTTAGGGCAAATGTCTCCTTTTTTATACAGAAGGGATTAGAGGGGCTAGCTGGCTCTCCAAAGTCAGTTAAGAAGCTCCGTTCTGAAGACATCTTGGTTGAAACCTCCACAGCAAAGCACAGTGAACTCCTTTTGAAGTCAGAGGCCATTGCTTCAGGACCACGATGCTTACGAGTGCAAATTGGACCCTCACTGTGTTAATTGTAGTGGTTCCCACCCCTCTTACTTTAGGTCTTTTCCTAAGTGGGAGGAGGAGAAAGAGGTACAGCATTTGAAAACTGGTCATAACATTTCTTACCCTGAAGCTTGGAAGCTGTTGTTCCTGTTGTTCGGACATATGTCACTGCATTATGCTCCACTGTTACAGTGGGGGTGTAGACAGACCTTTCTGTGCCTCCATCTGAGTCATTTTCAAGCCATGTGAGGAGTCTTCTGCCCTCCATGAATAATAGAGTTGACCGGTCCACGTCTACTCCAATCTCTGTCCCTACTATTCCTTCCAGTGACTGCCTGGGTCGACCTCCTCAGGTACCGGCTTCCAATATCTGCTTGGGTCCTTCTTTGGCCTCTAGATGCAGGATCATCATTCAATAACATCCTCAGTCATTGGATTCTCACTCTGACAGAGATCTGCCCACTCAATCAAAGGCAGGATCCATGGAGGTCGATCGACCTGCATCTTGTAAAGAAAAATGGTGTGATCGTAAACCGAAGGGTTCTCCATCCCATTCTTCCCCACCAACATAAAAATGGTCACTTTGATACAGTGGAATTGCCGAGGTTTTCGTTCTAATCTCGATGACATTAAGGCCTTGATCGACTCCTATCATCCTGTGTGTCTCTCCTTACAGGAAACATTTCTGAAACCTGCCATTACAGTCACCTTTTGGCAGTTTTCTTTGTACCGGAATGACAGGTTGTGTGATGGATGGGTGCATGGAGGGGTGGCACTGCTGGTCAGCCAGCATGTGCCCTCCTTATTTGTGTCCCTTGATACACCCATTGAGGTTGTAGCCATCCATGTTTCCTTGGGTCGTACCATCACTGTTTGTTCTCTCTAGCTGTCTCCTGGGGAACTTATGATCAATCAGATCTTGATGCTCTCATTGACCAGTTGCCTTTTTACTTCTGGAACACTTTAATGGACAAAACCCCCTCTGGGGTGGTGCTGATATTGATGGGAGGGGATCATTCTGTAGAGCATATGCTCTCGGACCACAACCTTTCTCTCTTCAATACTGGAACCTATACTTATTTTCATGCACCTGGTCAGTCTTTTACTGCCATTGATCCCTTGATTTGCTCCTCTTCACTTTTCACTCGCTTTTCTTGGATGGTCGACAGTGACCCAATGATAATTTTCCTATCATTATGAGGGAGGTTGGCCATGGTCAATGCCACCTGACCCGAGTGCCATGGTGGAATTTGAACCAGGCAGAATGGCCATCTTTCACCTCTCTCTCCAAACTTGATCCTGCCTTTGTCTGTCTGCCATGAATAGACGACTGTGTGGTTGCAGTGATTGACTGTATCATCCAGGCAACTGCTCATTCTATTCCTAGAACCTCAACACGTTTTCCACAGTATCCTCGTCCATGGGAGAGTCCTGCCTGCCAGGAGGCATGGAAGGCTCAAAAACGGGCCTGGGATACCTTCTGACAGTATCCCTCTCTTTCTAAATGCATTGTTTATCAGTGGGCTCGTTCCCATGCTCTGCATTTTCAATGTCAAAACCAAAAGGAGTCTTGGATTAAGTTAACTACAAGAATCTCTTCTACCACCAGTTCCAAAACTGTATGGGACAAGATTC